TTGAAGTAATGAAGTTCTTTGTCTTATAAAAGACCATTCTGTTTTGTCAAAGGCCTTTTCAAGGTCTATTTTAGCAATGAAGTTGCCAGGTTTTCCCTTCATTTTTCTAAAATGGCTAATGATCACTTGGACAATAATGGCATTGTCAGTAGCCTGTTGATTTTTAAGAAAACTTGATTGACTAGTCCCAATAAACTTATCCATCATTGGTCTGAGTCTTCTAGATATAATCTTAGTAATAATCTTATAAGTCATATTGCACAGAATAATAAGACGAAAGTTTTTTAGTAAGGTTGCATTTTTACACTTAGGAATCAAACAAACATGATATCCTCGGGAATGCATGTTTTTTTAAAAACATTCTTACAAAATGAGATTATAGATTCTCCAGCTATGTGCCAATACTTTTGATAGAAAAAAGGGTGCAATCTATCTGGACCTGAAGCTTTAGAGGGATGGAAGGAGTTGATAACATTCTTGATTTCCCCATCAGAAGGCTAAGAGCCTAAAAGGGCGCTATCTTCTGCAGATAAGGTGATAGATCCATGTATAATGGGGTAGTTATAAGTTTTGGAGTTACATGTCCTGAATAAATTATTGTAATATGAGGTAATATGTTCCAGGATCAAATGTTGCTCATAGATCCAGGTGTTATCCTTCAATTTAAGGGAGAAAATTTTGTTCCTTCTACGATGATTTAGAGTGGTAGTATGGAAAAAATTGGTATAGCATCCCCTTCATTAAACTAATTTATTCTAGATTTAAGTTTCCAGGACTCCTATTCTCCTTTTAGAATATTATTATATTCTTTGATGCGATGTTGTTCAAGGTCCAGAAGGAAATAACTATTCAGATAGTTTTTAGAATTGTGGATACCTTGCGGTCTTTTTATAATATTATTTTTCTTATAAAAAATATTACCAAAAGTATTCTTATTCCAAGTGGTAACGTCTCGCTCAAATTGTGAGATAGCATCATGGAGGTTGTGAGCATTTTTCCAAGTATTATCAATAATATTAGGGAGTTCTGGATGGGTGGACCACATTGTTTCGAATCTAAAGATATGTTTTTTATTAGTAACTATATCTTTAAGGAGAGATAGGAGTAATGGGCAATGGTCGATGTGGATTATGGGTAGATGGAGCACTTCAGCGTCTGTAAAGCTCATCAGCCAATCATAGTTGGCAAAAAAATGGTCCAAACGTTAAAATATAAGAGAGTCCTTACTTTTGAATCTATTATTCAGCCACGTATATCAACTACCTTTGACGCCCATGTCAATAAATTCACAATAATTTATTATGTCCCGAAACTCCTTTGTGCGTGAGTTATTTAGGAGATTCCCACCCTTCTTATCCAGGTTATTCAATAATTCATTAAAGTCCCCACTTATTAACCATTTTCCAGTATAGGTATCTTTAATTGTACGATGATTATTCCATTAAATTTTATGTAAATTTCTATAAGTGCTAGCATAAATAAAACTGAATAACCAAGATACATTTGTACCACTCACCTTGACCATTGCATGAATTTCCTTCTCAGTTGTAGCAATTTCATGAAGCTCCAAAAGCTCATCATCCCAAATAACTACAATGCCACCAGAGTTGCCCATACAAGAACCTCAATCATTCTATTAAAAGTAAAATCATCCAGTATGACTTGATGGTTTTGCATATTCGTTTCTAGTACAGCAACAAGGGGTGGTTTGTGCCAATCTAAGAGAGTTTTAAAATTCCTTGTTAAGTTTGGTCCATTCCCATTCCTACAATTCCATACTATTATATTCATTGATATGCTCTAATCGGGTGGGACTTTCAGGGGTTAAAGTAGGAGTACTAGTATTTGACATGGGGAACAAGCTAACCACCTCTTGATTAATTAAATTATAAAAAAAGATTTTTAGAAAGTATGATGTCACTGCTTACGTCAATGGAAGTTTTACTGTTCATCATTGAACAATTTTTCTTGGGAGATAAACTATGGTGGTTTTTGTTAGAGGAACTAGGATCTGTTTGAGATTTTACAGTAGAGGTGTTGATTTTGCCCTTATATTTAAAGATTTGGGATTCTAGATACTTACCAGTTGCAGCATTAAAGAGTTTAACATTGATACCTTCCTCCTCTTTCTACTTTGTGTTTTGAATTTTTGTATTTTCTGTTTGTTGGCTCGAAACGCGGCTGGTCTTTTTCCTGCAATTGAAATTGCGACTTGCCAAGGTGATAATCCTTGGTTGTTGGAATCGTCTCCATGACTCTTGTTTCGGAGGTTGAAGCAACACATGTATCCTTCTTAGTTGTAAGAGGAGATTTAGTATTGTAGTGGCAATTGATTTAAGTATGACCAACTCTACCACAAGATTGGCATAATATGTCTTCACCTTCGTAAATAATTTCTTGCTTGAGATGGCCGATGTGAATTGATCTTTTAACTAGAGTTTCGAGTGACACCTCAATACATATACGTGCATACCTTCCCCTGAGCGTCTCCGATGTACACTAATCTGTTTTTACTAAACGATCAAGCCTGCTACCGATTTTTTCTAGAATTTTGTGATCATAATATTCTGTCGGTAATTATGATAACCTTATCAAAATGGCTAAGGAGTTTTCTCTTGCCGTTGAAGAAACAATGTTTGGATGCCATTTCTTGATTGACAGAAAGAAACCATTAATAAACCATGGTCCATGTTGCAGGGCCATTTGCATATTTTCTTCTTTGAGGAATTTTACAGTGTAATAGTCAGACCAAGATCAATTAACGTGATTTCTTTGGTAGGCCTCCATAGTATACTTAATCTTCTCTTTAGATATTGCTGGCTCATTTTTTTACCAAGTAGTTTTATGATTATTGAATATGACCATGGTCGATATATCCTGGCCTTTTCTTCTTCCGTAAGGTATATGTGATCTTCATCTTAATTTTTTGCATCGCCATCCTTACTTTCATTGTCGGTAACTTGATCCTCATTCATTGCAAGATTGTGTTCAATCGGAGACACCTCAGAGTAGCTAGCCATTTTTGTATCTTGGTCATTTTTATTTAGTGGGAATGGGCTGGTTAATACATTTTTGCATGATAAGGTATTCAGAATCTGGGTGAAATTGTTAGTGGAAGGTTGGTAGTCTATGTTCATCTCGCTAGTATGAGGCGGTTCAGGTCGATGAAGGGACAAGTTTTATTCATTTAACATATTGTTTCCTAGTGAGAAGTGAGAGCTTCTCTCTCTAGTCCCTTTGTTGAAAGATAGACACTATTAGTAACATCTGAGATGAGTCATGAAAGGACACATTTATGCTACTGTTGGGATTTGTACTCCTTTATTTAGTAGTTCTGTAGTTGTGACTTCCTGGTTAGGAGAGGGGTCTTTTGATTTATGTATTTGTTGATTTTCTTCCGTTGTGTCTTGTTAATTGTACTAATTGTTATTTCCACTTTGTTTCTCTTTTTATACCCATCACATGTCATTTTGATATATAGGTTGGCTTACCTACTGGTGGGTTATAATAGGTGCCATCAGGACTTGAAAAATTGGGCCATGACACTAGCCTTCATAATTGCAGTTTGAAAATATGATCAAGTACTGAAAGAATGTGGATATTTTTTCATTCAGAGACCAAACAGGTGACCTTCACGAACACGGGACCCAGTCTGCGATTGTGGAAGGTCACTCCCCAAGGTTTGGAAAACGCGGCGCCTAGGCTTGAACATGAAGGGCAAACCTCCTTGGACTATGCAAATGCGGTGCAAGTCCTGCGAACGTGATGGCCAACTCTACTAGCCTCCACAAGTACGACACGAAGATCCAGATCGCGGAGACCGAATATGGCCAAAGGCGCGCGAGTGTGAAGAGGAATAAGGGCCGCACCAGCTAATGCAAATCAGCTAGTTCCACAAGGCTTAAAATCCTTGATATGGTGCTAAATATTCATTCAGAAGCCTGTGCAAGCGAATGAACTACGCTACAAACTGAATTCGACATTTCAAACTCAATGGAGCTGTCAAAACATCCACCCAAGGTTTTTCGAAAAAAAACTATGTCCCAAACCCACACCTAAACTCCATTTTAAGTCTACTTAAAATGATCTAGAAGCCTCGATATCCACACGGAATGTCCTTCTGGAGCAAACTCAATGTCCCAGAGCTAAAGGAACCATCAGAGTTGCATTATGAAGCCATCTACCTGAAGTTTTAACCGAAGTAAACTATTCAAATTTTAAAAGCTCCAAAACACGAAAACCTGGACAAAAACCAAATGAATGATCAGGTGACCGTACTGTTCAACCCTCCAAGTCCTAAATGACTTTGGGTTCCTATAAGAATACTCTAAACATCGAAAATAATGCATTTAAGGGAAGACAACCTAGACGGTCATTCAAATTTGGTGTTTTCTTATCGATTAAATTGTAATATATCTTTGTGTTTAGTAAGAAAACCAACATTTTTTGTTTAAAGGAAAGGAAAAGGAATTCCTAGAGTCAGAGAGGAAATTGGGTAGAAATACAATAAAAGTCAAAGTTAAAATAGTATTGAGGAGAGGGATAGAGCAAACGGGGATAGACAAAGAGAGAAAGAGGGTGGAGGGATAGGGAGAAAAGAGAGAGAGAGAGAGAGAGAGAGAGGGAGAGAGAGAGGGAGAGAGAGGTGAGGAAATCTAGTAGGAAACTACCAAGTGATGAATGATTATATAATTATTTTTCTTTATCGTGAAATCTAGTAGATATGGTAAGGATGTTTGTCTATTAGTACTCTTTAAATATGAAATTGTAGGTGATTGTTTATTTAGATAATTAGTTATGAATATTTTACCGCACAACATCAAAATGATTATAGAAATCACAATTTACAATTAAAAAAATTGTCTCTATTAAAAATTAAATAATAACTTATAATTCTTTTAAGAGGATACATATCAAATTAACCAAAGAAATGACTTTTAAAAAAAGTATCAACCAGTTTTGTCCGTCTAATATTTCATCTAAATTTGCGTAAGCACTTGAAAAAGCCCATCATATATGTATTATTAACATTGAACACGCCTACGTACACAAATCGTGAAACATATATCACACCAAACACTTTTATTGATTCATAAAGAGATTTACAATAAAACTAATACTTCATGAAGCTCATGAAGCATATATCACACCAAGTAGTTTTATTTATTAACAAAGATTTAGGAGAGTCATAATACTTCATCATGTTATAAGGAATGGGGAATGATATCTATTTCCTAACATGGTGAGTCTCAACATCCTTGATGAGACCAATAAGGAACTCCATAAAATCCAGGGGCTCTGGAGTATTTTCATTTAATTTCTCATACGCAAGAGTCCAAGTGATCATTTTTTCCTCTGCAATCAATTTAATTGTCATTTACTTGTATAGTTCATTCAAATATCCTTCAATAAAATTGAAAGTGATTGATTTTTCCTCATTGTCTATGTGCAGGACTTGTTTGGCATGCCTCTCTTTTCCTCTTGTTGTCAAACCAAATAAATTGAGGATACAAAAGAAGCAAAAGTACACACACTAATGTTTATTAATGATCATAAACTTTTAGGTTATATTTTATTCAAAAAAAAAATACTAGTATAAACGTATTTCTCAGTAACGTTTTAAGTTATATTTTATTTAGAAAAAATCAATGACAAAAAGACAAAAAAAACCTGACAAAGTAAACAAACATAAAACTTTATTGTGAGTAGTGTTTTATAATTCGTTACTCTAAGCCACATTTATCGCTAAAATATGACTCACACTAACGTTTCTTTGGAATGACTAAAAATTGAAATTCAATCTTGTACAAGCCTCAATCAACTTTATTCAACTTTCCACTATTAAAATGGATATATAGTTTAAACACACATTCACTTGAAATATATATGATTTTTTCTTCATACATATTACATAGACAATACTTTTTACAACAAATGGAAAAAAAAGAGAGAAGGACTTTGCACATATTGGATCTTATTTTGTATCCTTTCAGTTTCAAAATTTGCAAATAAATCATATGAGAGAACTTCTTCTAGCCTAAGGTACAATCCCTTCCAAATATTAGACCAATCTGTTTCTTATGATTATTAAATACTAGTTCCTGGATTCGTGTGTCGTGTGTCCAATATAAATTCTTATAGATCTGTTAGAACAGTCTAAATTATATTAAAACATGTATGGTTTGAACTTTGGTTAGTAGTTAGTAAACAATGAATTTACAAATGACTAATTTGAGCATAAATAAAAAAACATACAACAATCAAAAGTTAATAGAAAATTAAATTAAATAAGTCTAATAGAGAGAAGATACAAAAAATATTTTTTTTTAAAAAAAAAAGAATAAATAACAACATGCATGTTCTTCTTAAGACTTTAATCATTAAAATATAGATGTAAAAAAGAAATATATAAAATTTGTACATAATTTTTCGAGTTCTTGGCTACACCTTCTACAACAACCAATCAAAATTCAAGAGTCTTCTTCATCAAGTCAAACTTAAATATGAATCAAATAATATAATACTAATAAGAGTTTCACTATTCTAACTATAGAATGAAAATGATGTTTTTGGGTAAGGGTCTCCTGAAATAAACAAGATGAATTATATAGATAAAAACGGAAAAATATCAAAAGATATCTTAAAGTTTTAAATTAAATAATTGGAGATTATGAATATGAAAAACATGAGAGGTTATGAATATTAAGAATAGCAATTGAATAAGTAATTAGCTATAAGTTATGAAAGTAAATATTTAAAGCGAATTAAAAAAATAAAGAAGAGAAAAAGATTAATCACCAAAAAAGGAAGAAAGAAAACTCTAAAAAGTAAGAAAAAGTGTGTGTGTGGGTGGTGGTGGGGAGGGGGGGGGGAGATCTGTGTTATAGGAAGAAGAGGAAAAGGTCACTCATAAAAGATAAGTATAAGGAATGTATTTGGGTCTTGGAGGATTAATGATATGTTGTTACATAAGATATTTAAGGTATAATTATTTATTATTCATGAGTAAATAAGGCAACTACTCAAAAATGAGGTAACTATTGGAAAAAAAAATGAATTTGTAATATTTTAAGATCTTCTCACTTTTATTATTTCATTCATATGATCCAATTATTATTGTATTTTTTTTTTGTTTAGTATAGAGATAAAATGATGGCTAATATGAAAAGGAAAAGAAGTAGAAAAGATGTAATTGTACCTTAATAATGATTTATTATTTACGAAAAGAAGTAGAAGAGATTTATCATTATAGTGATTAATAGCTATTTATCATGTAAATTGGAACGTTTTTGTATATCAAAAATAAAGAATAATCTAATTTTTAATATTTATAAAAGAATAATTTTTTATTGTATTATTGTAGTAACTCAACTTTACAGGGATACTTTGGCATTTCAACTTTCAACTCTCCCCCCCACCCCACTTTTAGTAATAAATGATATGATATGATATATACACACACTTAAGTTAGTGTAATAAATCACCCAGTGAAATATGCTGTTATTTAAAAATAACAGAGAAAATACATAATTACCTCATTAAAGTAAGACCTATTTTTTAAAAAGACACTTCAATTTTGTAGGGGTCCTATTACCCCCTTATTCTTATTTAGAATGAATTTATTGTCCCATTATGTGCCTACGTGGCATGTAGAGTGTAGTTCGCTCTCTGGTAGAGAGTGAGCTGAAACAAAAAGTAAATAAATATTTGTTTAAGCATTTATTTAATTAGAAATTTTTTTTTCTTTTCTTTTATTTATTTTATTGTACTTTCTCAATTCTTTAATTCTGTTATCTTCTTCCCCAATTTTTTTCAAAAGAATCAACTATCTCTTCTCTATCTTCTTCAACTTAGAAGACCCATTTACTTCACTCATTTTTTTTCCTTTTCTTCTTGCTTCTCTTTGTTCCCTTTTCTTCTTTTGCACTTATTTTTTTTTTAAAAATAGTAATAATTGTAAACCTCCTTGATAACATTGTTCCTTTTTAAAAAAAAGATGAAAATAAATTGTTGTAGTTCTTTAGAATGTAAATAAAGAAACTTCTTCGATTTGAGAGTATTATAGAATTTTATTACCTTCATCGTAATGGTGTTTCGCTGCATATTGTTGTAATTTTGAAAAGGAGATGGTAGATTGGAGGTGATTACTAATTTTTAATTTTTAATTTGTTAGTAATTTTATTTTTGTTTTAACAATAATTTGATGATATTAATGATGGAGATGGTATTATAATAGTGACGTGATGAAGACTACTCCAGAGAATTGACGAAGATGGCGACTACGTAGAGGATTTCCGGTGATGGCAGCTCGAAGGACTGAAGAAGAGCAGAGGAGGGTAATAAAGAAGAAGAAGAAGAAAGAGAATGAAGAAAGAGAAAAAGAAAATGAATTTAATAAAATAAGAAAAACAAAATGAAAATAAAGATTAAAAATTAAAATTAACACGTGGCAGATAATAACTGGTGCGTGATTGCACTTCTTTTCTTGCAATTGAGGGTGGCTGAAAAATTGGGATATTTACAACACTTTAAAATTGTTTAAGGGGGGTTATTAGGTACCCCGCAAAGTTGAAGTGTCTTTTTAAAAAACAAGTCTTATTTTAATGGGGTAATTATGCATTTTCTCAAAATAACATTATAATCTAAAATTATATTTGTTCTTTAGAATTTTAACTTAGGGGGTTCTTACTCTAAATGAACATACTGCAACAATTTTATCTAGAGAATTCCTTTGTGACCATTAACTAAAAATATTGGTATTTATCCTCTCCTTTTTATGAACTTTTAATATTTGAAGAATCAATACTTTTTGGTTGATAATGATTCCTTGAACCGTTTTAGAATATTTTGAATCTCTATGTATTCTTTAACCAATTGAAACTAGGTGTTCGTACTTTTGATCTCTCAACTTTTATATAAAATGATTTAAACTTTAAGAATATGTGTAAAGCCATCTTCTCATAATAATCTTTCCCTACTTATCTTTTCTTTTGAACCTTATTTTCACATAAAGATGTAAAATGCATTTCAAAATTAAAAAGGAAGAGAAAGCTAATTCATTGCTCACTTTTACCAAAGTCAACTGAAATATGAAATGAATAAGTGACTTACCAAGAATATAATTCCAGGTAACAACAGAGTTAGTTTTTCCCAATTGACCTTCATGAATTGTGAAGTTTGTTATCTTATCAGGAGACATGACGGATGTTTTGTGTGGATTTGATTTGAAATGATCATGAAGCAAATGTCCAGAACACTTCATTTCTATTTGAGAGATCAACTTGCCTTCCAAACCCATTTCCTTACAAGTGAGTGTGATTTCCTAACAAGAGAAGGTTTACAAATTTAGTGAGAGGCATTTTCGCTTTTATATAGAATGTAGGTTGTGAATAAGTAAATAATTTTGCATGATTGTACATTAAGTTAATCTTATAATATTTACAGTGACAAAGTCAAGTGGGAAAAACAAGGATTCCATTTAAACCCCCGATGATTTAAAAAAATATATGTTGTATATTTATGGTTAATAGAATTATGTATATACAATAGTTGTTGAATCGCATTCGCTTTTAAGTGCATTTTACCTATTCAAATTCCGAACTAACTCAGGAAAATTCTAACAATGTCATTGATGTTAACATGTCATTATTTAATAACAAATCTTCATACCTAATTTTTTTAATGAAATAGTAATAATTATTACGTACGCATAATAAAAATTACTTTAGGCTTAACCCAATTAGTCGTTACATATTCAATGAAATAAGTATAGGAATGGAAAATATCACAATATGATATGTATATCCCACTGTGTATCTTTCATGTATCTTTTTTGCCCCTTTGTTTTGAAGAATATGGATCAATTTGTACAGTTAAGGTGGTAAATTTATGCAATCTCTTCAAGATATTTCTCTTATTATCTGATAACATCCACTAAAAACACAATTACATAATATAAGATCCTTTAAATATGTAACTTTGTTATAATTAGAAAATAGTAACATCTTAGTCCTTTTCAAAAAGAATATTTCTCTGATTTTTAGCAACACTAATTTTCTACATCATATGTTTTAGACCACAAATTAAAGAGCATTTTCATTTATGTAATATATTTTTAATTTATGACAATAAAATTCAAGAGTGTTTTTTTACTTTTTAAAAACATCACCGTAAATAAAAATACGTCTAACTAATTGAAATGGGAGAGTACTACTTTTGTATATTGTCTTCATAAAATACATAGTAATTCTTGATATATCTTCAATAGCTTCTTCATGTCAATAAGGTACTGTTAACGCTTTGTTAAAAATAACGATGCTATTTGATGGTAGATTTCTAACATAGCTTTAGGTAGCCCTATGTTAAGTTGAAAAAGTTGCTCAAAGAATGTTTTTAAAAAATCCTAAATAGGAGGTGAGCATAGTTTGGAAAAATCTAAAATCAAAATTTTTATATTTAATTTGAATATTATGTTTATGAATTGGACTTCAACATTTATTTGTAAGAATTAAGAATTTTGTATTGAATATCAGATCAAGTACTGTGGATTTTTTTATATTTGAAAATATTAAATTTTATGCTTATATTCAATCCTACCCATATCATATGTACGCTATTCTAAAAAGTTTTATTTCATTTTAACTTTTAAACCAATGAATATATTAACAAATATTTATCCTACTTGCATTAAAAAATATTATGAAACTTTTTTTACTGTCTTTCCAAATAAAAATTAATGAAGGTGTGTATAAACATATTTATTTCCAAGTTTTAAAATTGTTGTTCGGATTTTAAAAGAAAAAAAACAAGAAAAAACTTCTCTAGTTGTATTTGGTATTTTGTTATCAGTTAAATCGTGATATATCTTTGTGATTAGTAAGAAAACCAACTTATTTTTGTTTAAAGGAAAGGAAAAGGAATTCCTAGAGCCAGAAGGGAAGTGAGGTAAAATTGAATTAAAGTGAAGGTAAAATAGAATCGAGGAAAGGGTGAGAGAAAAGAGGGATAGAAAAAGAGAGAAAGAGTTAAGGTGGCAAATTTTCTTGATTAGCGTTAAAGCTAAGTTAAATATAAACATGATATTTGATGGTAGATTTCTAACATAGGTTTAGGTAGCCATGTGTAAGTTGAAAAATTCCTCAGAGAAGTTTCCCCTAATTCTAATAGGGGGTGAGCATAGTGTGGGCAAATTGAAAATCCAAATTTTTGATATTTAATTTAAATATTTGGATTATGAATTGGACCTCAAATTTTATTTTTAAGAATTATGAATTTTATATGAAATATCAGATCAAGTACTATGGATTTTTTTATATCTAAAAGTCCTAAATTTTATACTTATTGTAGTAACTCTGAAGGTCATTTTTGGAAAATTACTATTTTACCCCTCCCGATAGTTGCAGCGAGATATTTTTTGTTAGTTTACGAAGTTGGTTTTGAAATTTGATAGAAACGGTGGGATGTTTGGAGGTTTTAGAGTTTTGGAGACTTTAAGCTGTTAAAAGTGATTTTTGGTAACAATCGCATCTAAGAGTTAAAAAAATTGAATTTCTTTAGATCCATTAACTCTAGAATGCAGAATTTGATCTAACTGTGTCTTCATTTTCAGTTTCGGAGTCCATTTCAGCTATTTAGTTAGACGTTGAAGTATAATTAGGCCATGAGTTTACTTTTCTCAACGTTCGATTTTCAGACATTTTAAATTTCTGATAATTCCGTTATATTTAGGAAAAGATTTTATGCCTAGGCGAGGTCATGGTTCAATTTTCATAGGTTTTGAGGGAAGGTTAAAATTGTTGAATGAATGTTAGTTTATTGCGACTTTAACTGGTTCCGAGTCAAGGAGACCTTGACTACGTGTCTCGATCTTTCCATTGAGTCCAAAATGTCGAGTTTAGTTGCGTAGCAAATCTTATTTTGTTGTGTGGGATTCTGAAAAAATTGTGAGTGCTCATTCTGTGATTTTCTTTAGTCTTGATGTTTGTTGATGCTTCTTGAAGGTGCCTATTGTGTTGTTCATGGCGATTGTGAGGCTCTCTCCCACGATTGCGTAAGGGTCCTTTGTTGTACATTGTGATTGCGTGGGATCAGTCGCGATCGCATAGGGATAGGTCCTCAGGAATTGCAATCATGTGCGCCTTGGGGCATGATCACGAAAGTGAATAAATGAGTTCACCTCCCATTCTTCATTGCGATTGCGAGGCTTTGAGGGTGCAATCGTGAAGTGCAATTTTGACCTGGAATGAATTCTTTTCAAAAGTTGAGGTTTCATCTCCATTTCACCATTTTTGAACATAAAAAGCTTGGTAGAGGCGATTTTAAGTGTTATTTTGAGATTCGTCGATTAGGTAATGATTTTTAACTCCCCATCTTCATTCCCCATTGATTATCTCATGATTTTAATATCTAAAACTGATTTTAAACTTAAGCTTCTCAAGAACTTAGATTTTAATAAAATGGAGGTTTGAGCTTTGTTTCAACTCATTTTTTGATGTGATTTTCACTATTAAGTTTCAAAACATTTGGTTAGCATTATTTTATATAATTTTCTAGATCTAACCCTAGCTCTCCAGAATGACTTTTTTGGGTCGATTTGGACCCTGTTTCAAAAATTAAAGATTCAGGCGTTGTTGTTCTTGAATTCTTATTGAGATTCGATATTTGTTTAGATTGTTTTGTTTTAGAGACCTGTCGTAGAGGGAAGGTTCACGTGCGAGTTAATTATTTGCTCTTTTTAAGGCAAGTGGACCTCTTGACCCTTTGTTAACTATATTGAACATTGTATGCCATTGTGTGGTTGGGAGTAATGGGAATTGGTGAAGGGTTTCGTATATTATGTGTACTGCTAAATCATGGGTAAGTCCTACTTCCTTTAATGTGTGGTGAAAAAAGGAACCTTATTGGTATTGTGATGTATGATGTGCCATGAATGGTTTGAACAATTGTATTGGCTCAGTCTTCATGTTGTGCCAAGATTATTTGTGTTGGGTTGTTGTTATGGACGTTATTATCCTCTCATTAACAATTTGCACATATTTATTTGCATTGTTGCTATAATATTGTTGTGATGATACTTTGTGGAAATGATGAGGAAAAAGGGAACATGCCACGCGCTGTGGTAGATTCATATTGAGAAAAAAAAATGTGTCACACGCTGTGGTGAATTCATATTGAGAAAAGGAATGCGCCACATGTCGTGGTAGGTTGACTGTATGGGTCCCAGATAGAGATTCAGTGGGTGTTTATAATATGAACCACTCTTTATGAAGTTGAACTACATTGCATTGCACTTCATCCTTGTTTCCTTATTGTCATCAATGATGATATGGGTTTTTGATTGTTGAATTATGAAAGAATATGATATATATGTATGTGTGTGTGTGTGTTGAAGTGCAAATTGTGATGTTTTAAAAGATCTTTGTTGTTATTGAGTGAGAACTGTTAGGTTGGGTTGATATTATTTTATGTAGGTCGTAATTTGTAGTGGTTCACATGGTGTGTTGGAATACATGTGTTCTGTATTACTTTACTTAGGGTTGGTTTGGGATGCTTGCAAAGTAACAATGTTGTTTGGTACTCACTCCCTTGCTTTTTACAGTTTTGTAGGTTACGATCCTGGATCGTCTAGGCCTTTCCCTTCTCATCTTCGTCTGAGGCTTGCTTATAGAGTTTGTGAGGTAACTGCTTGTCATCTCGGCATACAACACTTACTCTTTCATCATGTCCTTGTCCTTTTCTAGATACAAAGTCATTCAAACTTGTATTTCTTTTGAATCTTTTGTAAAATTTTGAGGTTTATACACGTGACACTAGATTTTGGGGGGTTTTATGAGTTATTTAATTTTTATCCACAATATTCGTGTTATGCTAGCTATTTTTATTATGTTTTACTTCTAAATTTACCTTATTAAGTTGGGTTTAGGCTGCCTTGTCTAGGTGGGATAAGACATGTCTAATCATGCCAGTTTTTGGGTCGTGACACTTATATTCCATCCTACCCGTATCATATGTTTTCTATACTAATATGAAAGGCTCCACGTTATTTCTATGTTATTGCCTTCCTATCATTGTTTAAAGCGTTCCTATTGCGAACCTAACTAATTATGACTTATTGGAATTGACAGTTAAGTAACAAAGTCGTTTGTTTGAATTCTGTGCAGGTTTCTAAGTTGTAGAGCTTTTGAAACTTGAATGGTTGACTTTGGTCAAAAATTTAGGAAGACAACTTCAGAATACAATTATGAAGGTTGTGTTAGCTTCGAAACGTTGAGTTTGGTTGGATGGACCTTTGTTGTGGATCCTGGGGGTTCTGGGCACATCCTAAA